GTTCTTATTCCTCCACTCAAACAAATAATTGTTCACAACACAACGAACGCTATTTGGAATGTAATTGTTTTTTATGTGTCAATTCTTAGTAAACGTTCTGGTCTTGGGGCAGTTCTTGTTTAATTAAAAATTTAACTTATTAAGAAGTGTTTTTGTTTTTCAAAATTAAAATTTTTTTGTTGATCATCATCTAATATGAAATTTCCCCCATCAGGAACTCTAATTGAATGAAGATAGACGAAATTTTTGTTTTTTCTATTGTTCAAAGAAGAACTGGGACTTAAATAATTCTCAGACATTTAATATCCAAAAATTTTTATTGATGACGATTATTATAAAAGATAGTAATCAGTTAAAATTGAAAATTTAAAAAAAGGTGAAGTTATTTTGATCGTGATAATTACAAATAAAGAGTATGAAAAGTTAGATTTCAAGTGTGAAAATAATGAGAACGAATTAGAACTTGAAAAAACTTAATGTAACCATTTTAATATTAGTGTTAGTTGATACAATATTTTTATTTTACTCAATAATAATAAATTTAAATATCTGATATTAATATTACGGATTTAATTTTAAAAATAGACACATTTTTGAATTTGGTCACGAAGCGCAGTAAATGGTGGTTTAAGAGGTCACGCACCATACTAATGACATTAATTATATTAATCTTGAAAACTATTTGCAGGAGTCGTAATTATTCGCGGCAGCCATATCTATTTGCGGCAACCGTAGGTACATGTGTAGTTATTTGTGGCAGCCGTGATTATTTACGGCAAATGGTGGCTCATTTACAGCAAGTGTCTGTGTATGTTTTACTATTAAGGTGGCCATTGACAGTTGACTTTTATATCCAATCAACAGAATGGTCGCGAACATTACGAAATTAAATTCCATCATCAATGTGAAATTTACCAGGATTTTTCTTTTATTGTTACATATTATTTAATTATCTGCAATAGTTATTCACCGTATTTGAACAATCAATCAACCCCCAAAAAAAATTATTTCATTTACAAGATACATTAAATCTCTATTATGTGTCTAAATTCATTTCCATTCATCACTAGATTCAGCAACAATAATAAAAACTTTATTTTATAATATTGTTGCCAACATTAATAATAAATAATGAGAATTTTTCAATAAATTTGCGTGAATTATTTTTTCATCCTGATATCTAAACTTTTAAAAAAAGATGTTGGAAATTTTGTTATGTTGTAAGAGATCAAGTAAACCCGAACCAATCTCAGTTGTGATATGCAGAAAGTTTGTTGTTATATTATTCGTATCAATAACATTAACTGTTCTTGTCATATTATCAAACGGAGTAAATAAAGATACACCAACTATTACAAGAAAGTATTCTTCAATGGATAAGTTCCCTGTACCAGGTGAAGCTAATTGATTAATGAATTAGTTTATCACATATACGAATGTTGAGTAATGACTTTTCAACTGCATAATATCATTGTATAGTTGTTTACTTTTCATCTCCTTTTCAATTTAAGATAGTATGTTACTACTTCTTCACAAATATCAGTGAAAATGGTAAAATTATATTATATGGGATGCACTATACATATATTGTATCATTTATATCAATTAATTAATCAATTTAGGTACTATGAATAATGAATATGCAATACAACCTACTTATGATAATAGCATCGATTCCTGGGAAGGAAGTTTTTCTCCAGATAATTTATCATTTATCATTGGTGGTCTTAACAAGACCCAAAATCAAGAGGATATAACTGGATTAAATTTAATTTTCATGATTACAGATCCAGATTATAACGTTACTAAAGATGGTTCTATCCGTTTTAGTATTTTTATGCATGATCAAGGTAAAAAACAATTTGTTTATTTTGAATATTGACTAATTGATTGATTGATTGATTGGTGGTTCTTTTTTTAAAATTAGAATATAATCCACTTAATGATACACTTGTTAATGTAACTGAGGATTATTCAAGTTTTGTCAAATCGCTTCAAGAAATTGTTTATTATAATACAGGAAATGTAAGTGATGTTTAAATGTAAGTGATGTTATTATTAATTATTAAATAACTACGAATGATATATTTTAGGAATATACTTTGTATCTATCAAGAAAACAAAGGATTATATTAAAAGATTCACCTCTAAATGATTTGGGACTTCCACAAAAGTACCCCAGCCAAACTTATGTTGTGGCAAATGATCGTAAGTTATACAAATTCTTTTATGAAATATGCACAAATAAACAAATCAGTAGTGAATCAATAAATGAATGGATTTATTTATTTAGATTTTTATACCCATTCGGGTTTAGAAGAAACAGTTTTCCGATTATTTCCTCACAGTTTTTCGCTTGAAAATGAAGTTGAACAAAGGCAAGTAGATTGTATGATCAAATCGGTTGATGAATTGATCAAAATAATATTTCTTAATTAATAATAATAATCATTTTTTTTTAATATAGAAATAAAAATGTAAGCATATTAATTAATTATTGCCATTATAATTATCATTAATCATTTCATTAACAATTGTATCAATCAGGCTCTGACTGTTATTTCAAATGTACTTGCTGTATGGGGAGGATTGACAGCACTTTACATATTTTTATTTGGTAATTATTATGTTAATTATTGCATAATATATATATACATATTGCATAGTATTCATCTTTACAATTAATTATTATTTTAGGTGCTGATTCGATTAAACCATGGGGATTTATACAAGAAAAGATTCTTAAAAATGAAACACGTAATAAATTGATGCCAACACCATTTTTTAAAAAGGAAGGAACTCCTGAGGAAAGGATTGAAGCATTGGAAACATTTCTTAAAGACTATGTTATCGATGTTGGTTTGATAGATCGGTCAAATAAATCATCATACAAAAGTCATGAAGATGAAGAAAAATAATGATATACACAGTGAATCTCGATTTAACGGACCTCGATTTAGCGGATACTAATTAAAAATCTCGGTTTTACGGATAAAGTTCAAAGAACGGTTTCATAATAAACCTTAATAAAAACCTTCTCGATATAGCGGATATCTCGGTTTAACGGATTTTTGGAAAATTTTCCCTAATTGCCCAAATTATCCGTTAAATCGAGATTCACTGTGTATTTATAAATACTTGTTTTGTTATAAAACTAATTTATGAAAAAAAAAAAATATATATATAAATATTACCCTAATTTAAATTAAAAATTTAATCTATATAATTTCTTATTCTCTAATAAATGAACTTTAATATTGTTATTTCTAATATTTAAATTATTAATTGCAAGTACTATTAAGATTATGAAAACAATAAGGTTCGTTATTATTACAGTTGTATCTTTGATAAAATACAAGCTTATCTACAGTGTTATTAAAATTTCTACAATTATGGCCAGAATTTTTGACTCTATACTTAACATTGAATTATTTAATTGATTTTTGTCAATATTAAAAAGAAAACTTTTTATCTGTGTGAATAAAATACTCTTCATCCGGGGAATTTTTATTCCAAAAAGGTGGGTTATATAATTCATCTGCTCCTTTAACTATATGTCTTCAATATCTCCACAAAATTTAGCCTAGAAAGTCTACCTTGAAAGATCAAAATTAAATTCATGTTATTGAAAGAGTTCTTTTATATATTAAAATTTTATCTTCCAATCAATCCCATTAGAAATCAATAAACTCATATTTGGACTTACTTTATTTTCCTTTTCCCAACCTTTTGATGTATTAATTTTGGTTACCGTCTATTAATAACATGATATTGAAGCGGTTCTTTATTCATCAAAAAAATTTTTTTTTTTAATTTGAATCTAATTAATGGAATAAACTCTTCTAATATAATTTTCAACTTCTTGAAATCATCCTTCCTTATTCCACTCTGAAATGTCTTTTTCTAATTCATTAAAATTTTATTCATCGCATGTTTCAAGATTTCGTTCGCATACAGGTTATTTATATTAATAATTTCATTGTGCATATTTCTTTTATAAAATATAAATGATAAATTAGAAAATCGTTTAGATTTGATATTTTAAGAAAAAATTAATTATTATTTTTAATCTTACGTTAAAAAAACTTTGAATATTGTTCAGATCAACTATTAGATAAAGTTTTCTTTAAAAATACGAGAATCCTACTTTAAAATGATATAGCTAAAATTTTAACGACATGGTCTGCACAACTTTAACCCAAGAATTTGTTAGTGGAATTAGCACCTTGGAATATGTATATATTTTAAATTTAAATTCACGCGCGTGAAATTCAAAAATAGCCAATCAGAATTTTATATCCCATCCTGTCCAAAATTTTTAACATGACATGTATGCTCCAATTTTTCGAGTACCTTTTCTTTACTATTATTATTAGATCCAATTTTTATCAATTAATAAGTCGGCAATTAGTATTTTGCTAATGAATTTTGCATTCAACTTCGTTAAAAATAATTAGTTAAATCCAGAACATTCAATGAGCTATCGTAACTTGTATAACTTCTAAAGGTTTTTGATTTAGCAATTTCCTCATCTAATATTCTACTTTTATGGTATGCGTTTGGGTGTGCTCGTTGTACTTGTTGTGAACTACTACCGCCACCACCACCATTATTAAAATCGGCTTCATGTTTTTTAATTTTAGGAAATTTGAGTAATCTTTTCACTAAACTATTGTTACTATGTAAACTTTTATTTTTAAGGATTTCTTTGTGTTTATTAACAGCAAATCCCCAAAGCTCACTGATAGTTGGCCTCTCTGATGGATCCACATCCCAACACCTCTGCATCATTTGTGCATAATCATCAGGCATTCCAGGTAATATTGGTGGTCGTAAACCTTCTGCACATATATCAAAAATCAAACGATGATTATGAGCTCTATCATCAAATGGTGGATGGCCTGCAAATATTTCCCACATTAACATCCCAACACTATAGATATCTGTTTC